CAGCATATTTCTAATAATATTACCACAAGTGGTACACACGATGTGATAGCTAAACAAGAGAACTACTTATCGATTGATGATGTAATCTCTAAACAAGAGAACTACTTATCGATTGATGATGTAATGAAAGATTGTGTGATAATATAACGACAACAAAAGGCAAAAATGGCTTGGCACGGAACGTGTTAATTATTAAAATAATTTAATTATTGTCTTTGATCTCTGTCTTTTCTGCGCAGATTTCTCAGCTGTTCAAGCTCGGGTCGCAAAACTACGAGGACATGAAGCAGTTCTCTTCCGCGATCGACGAAGCTCTGTTCAGATTGCCGGCACATCGAGATCGGGCGCTCAATTATAAGATGGAGGACGTGCAAATTACAGTGGTGGATGAAGTGTACGTGGAACAGAACGCTCAGGGTCAAGTTGAGAAGCAAATAGCGCGCGTTCGATTGTTCTTCTTGGGCTTCCTTTCCGGTAAGATTTCACCAGCTCCTCCATTATCAGGCACGTTGAAATTCTCACACTGGTCGTCACACAGGGATGCCCGACGTTGAATTGGGGATAAACGACATGTGGCGCCAAGGGAAAGAAGTTGTAGGCAGGCACGATATAATTCCAGTGGTGACCGAAGAATGGATCCGCCTGGAGAACGTCGAGTTCCACTCATGCGTACAGCAGGACGAATACGAGAAGTCCAGGATTATAAAGTAGGTTGCACAGCGAGAGAGCAATTTGCCAAAGTAGTGAAATCTTATCTGAATATGGTAACGAACAGCTACTAACAAAGGACTGGCTGGCAATTAACACCTGACTAACCCTTCTTTTTCAAAGGTTCAAGCCACCGGATGCATGCTATATTGAACTTATGAGATTCCGAGTAAGGCCTCCTAAAAACAGAGAGCTTCCCCTCCAACTTAAAGCCGTGATGTGCGTTACCGGTAACAAGGTAATGCCACTTTTCATCCAGGGACAACGCGTGTCGGCAACTTTGCACGAACTCAAGTCGATAACTCATTTGCACGAACCCAGTCGATATCTCATTTCTCCCACACACACGCTTTGACCTGCGTTTTCCTATTATCAATAGGTAGAGCTAAGGGCGGACATTCTCGTGCCGGGGTTCGCGTCGCGGAAACTGGGCCAAGTGCCCTGCGAAGACGTGATGGTCCGTTTCCCCATACCTGAATGCTGGATCTACTTATTCAGGGTGGAAAAACACTTCAGATATGGATCCGTAAAGTCAGCTCACAGGAGGACGGGAAAGATCAAGGGTATCGAGAGATTTCTCGGCGCTGTTGACAATCTGGAACCACAGCTGATGGAGGTGACGTCAGGTCAAGCGAAATACGAGCATCAACATCGTGCTATTGTCTGGAGAATGCCTAGGCTACCGAAAGAAGGCCAAGGTATCTTCTTTGTTACGGTTGTTACTCTGTTGCCATTCTTACTCTCAATAGATTTCTCATGTGTCTTCACGTTTCTCGAAAATTTCTCTTTAGCGAAAATATTGTATAAAATATTATATTATATAATATTATAACATGAAATAGTTTTGTAT